TACTCAAACGTGGTCTTGTAGCTGTGTTTATTCAAGTGACAACTTCTTTTCCGAGTAACTGAAAGGAATCTCTTTCGATCGTTCGATTTTATACTTTTTTTCCAGCGGTCACTGCAGCATTCGTCTTTTATTCCTAGTTTAGCATCTGATCACTGAATAGCATCCGTCATCCGTATGGTTGTCCCGCAGTACCTACTCTTTTTTTGTTGTTGGGTTGTTTGGAAAAGTCCTGTGCTGTTGGTCTATTTTCTCTACGGTAATTCTCCGCATCTCTTTTTCGACATGTTTCTTGACGGACCAACATCAAACTTGACAAAATCATCAGTCCTAATCGCAAGATGTGCATAATGGTCACAAAAATAATTCTCTTTGTGGGGTGGGGGGATTACTGAAGTAGACATGAATGCTCTTGCCAAAATACTGTGACTTCATGACAACGTCATCCAAAATGTAATCTGATTCCATTGTACTGTATGAGGCGACACGCATGCAACCATCAGCAAAATTGCTGGGCAGGGACATGTACGCACTAGAAGTCTTCAGAATGCTGAAAAATGAAAACGTAAATTACAGATGCATGCGTGACAGGTGTGCGTTGTGTCGAGGACTTCAAGTGTAACGTGACACAACCTGACAGGTGTGTTCTTCACGGACCAATATATATATATATTAAATAAATAACTTCACAACAGGACAGAGTTCACGCGACAGATGGTATTTTAAGGGTTCCGGTACGTTTGCCAAAGTTTTGCGATGTTATTTATAAATTGTCGCCCACTCACGCGATGTCGATCAACGTTTGTAAATGAAACAAAAGGCAAGCTCTAATTACAAGTTTTCATTTAGAGTACAATGTAACTTGATAATTCCACTGTGGTGCAGAGAAATTAAATTACAGAAACTCATATTTTTCAGTTAAGGTTAAAGCATGTCAATAATGGATTCTCAGAAACAGTTTTTTGTTCGATATGGCTGAAAGGAACCGTGGATCACAAGCTCGTTAATTAAAATGAAGGTAACGGAGTTCAAGTTAAGCGCGTGTTTGTTTACAGTGTCAGTTTTCCCAGGGTGTGTTGTATGACCTGTTACCCCTCAACACTTTATGATGATAATTGCCAATCATTTACAAAGTTCGCTTCTGTGTGGAATTCACGCGTGAAGTGGTTTATGAAATGGTCCTGCGTTTCACCACAATTTTATGGAATCTTGTCACTGAGCTGTTGGATTTGTTCGCTATTGAGCGCTATCTAAAACATACATTTGTTGGATAGTTAATGTGGCGGCTGTCATGTCATTACATCCAGCAAGAAATGAGACCGAGAGGTCAGTTTTCGGTGACCCAGAGAAATGGTACCATTACTCTGTTGCCGGAAGGGGATAAACCCCACCAGTTTTGAAAAATTGGCGACGTATTACTTTGATGAAAATCTCATATAAAATTGTCTCTGCCTGTATTGCGGAGAGGCTGAAACAATACCTTTCTCGTATTATTCATGACAGTCAAAAAGGCTTTATGGCAGGGCGCTTCATTGGCAAAAACATCCGTGTGATGTATGATTTACTTGATTTTTACAGAGGTTAATAATATTCCGGGTGTCATGCTCTCTATTGTAATCGTCTCCATTTATTGTTTATAGAGGGTGGTTCAATCGATTTAGGATTGCTGTTTTAACCTCGTGGCAGCAGTTTGCTGCGGTTCATAAACCATTAACTCATGGCGAGGTTTGAAAAACTACACTTTGGTACAACGAGCAAATTAAAATTGATAAGACTATTCATTATAAGCACTGGTCTTCAGCTGGTATTGTATTCATATGTGATCTTTTAGGCGACATGGACTGCTTTCTATCACTGTCCGATTTTAGGGTCAAGTTCAATGTCCAGACCAACTTTATTGAATATGGTGCGGTCTTAAGATTAGTCAAGGCTGCTTATGGTGATTTGCCGACGAATAATCATAATATCCCCTTTCCTTTGTTCCCTTCAACATGCACGTTCTCCTCTCCAGCTAAAAGGGCTCTCGGAGACTTTTCAACTTTTTGTCTCGGCAAAAACTGTCGCTTGAAAGTTTGTGGACAAATGGAAAAGGCAACTTGAACTCCACTATGACTTGGATGTCTGGTTTCAGGTTTTTAGTGTTCCTTTTATATGCACAGTGGACTCTAAGCTTAGATGGTTTCAGTTTAGATGAATCCACAAAATCCTTGATACTAACTCGTTTTTATATAAAATTCATAAGTTGGATTCCAATGTCTGTACCTTCTGCAAAAATGAAGAGGAAACCCTTATCCATCTTTTTTGTAACCGTAATTATGTTACTCTTTCCGGAGATAAATAGTAGATTGGGCTAAGGACAAAACAAAGATACAGCTTACAATAGACAATCAGCTTGTATTGTTCGGTGTTGCTGACACTAGACTTCAAATGCCTGAACCATATCCTCTTGAATGCCAGATTTCCCATTTATAAAAATGAAAATGAACAGCAAAAGTCCCTCATTAGAAGTCTTGAGAAAGGATATCCAGAGGTATTATCATTGTGGAAACTTTTTGGCCGCTGTCAATGGTGCTTGCCAAAAGTTTTGGTTGAAATGGCAAAATTACTTTGCACTTTGTTCAGTCAAATCCGAGTAATTGCAGTTTGGCACAAAAAAGTTTTATGATTCCTTATAACTGTATTAATTGTTATTGAGTTTGTGTTTGGAAGAAAAAATCCGCTCCCCCAAGAACTCGGCTGTGCCACGCTCCATTTTTTTTTAAACCGGGTATGCATCTAAAATACTTCTTATCGTTACAAACATGAAATTTCAACTCAATCAGAGACACACTTTTGTTGTTACGGCCGTTTCAAGTTTACGGTTACATGTATGCCAGCCCACGAGCATTGACAGCTGCAGTGATATGTATTTTGGCTCACCTGTCTCGGAAATCGCCTTGCGCAAGACAGGTATGCTCGATATACCGACAAAGTTTATGTCAAATACCGTCAAGAGTTACTCTACAAACTCCTAAAGGCTCAACTCCTCATAAAAATGCACTGCGACGACTTGCAAATTTGACTTTGAAAGGTGCCAAGGTATATTTTATTTTCCACTATTAGTATAGAGCATAAAGCACTGGCTGATAGTACACGGACACAATCATGACGAATGCGAAAATCTCTTTCCTTACATATGCCGCCATTCAAACCCCGTCTGACATGAGGTTGCAATGGGAAGGCGGTGGGTTTAACAACGTAGTTTACTATTTTGATAAGCTCCGGAAAAGTGCTCGACCAGGCAGTTGCACGGCCACTTGTGAGTATGCCCATCGCCACTACCTGTTCGCCCGGCCCTGGATTCGTTCACTGAATCTGTACATGTGCAGCGCATGTATGACGATCCATTTGATTGGCATGCCCCCCGCCCCCATATTTAGGCTGATCCTTTGCGTGGCCAACCCCCTGCCCGCGGACCGTATTCACAGTGTATAAACCATTTTATCGCTTAAAACTATACTATGATTTTGAATCTTTGAGTAAAGCTATTCATTACGCGTATACGTGCATTGAGAATTCTATATTCAAGAGAAAACTGTGATGTCATCTCAGGAAGAAGATAATGTTACATTGGTTTGAACATTAAAAAGTCCTGCATTTTTGTAGATGCCTTTCCTGGACTTGTTTTTCTCATTTTTGTTCATTCACTGATGTTTATGTGCATAGCAATAAGAAAGTATCAACCCCATCTCAGAAATGTTGTCAGTTCGTAAATTCTGAATTCACAATTTGAACAGAAACACCTTCGCATTGAACCTTTTCTTCCCTATATAACTTCACAGCAAACAGCGCCCTCAGTTGTCCGGGATAGCTTGGCTTATGTTAAATGTTTAAAAAGTATGCACTTTTCGATGCATTTTATCAAGCAGGAAAGTACAGGAGTTTCCATACATTGAAGAAGAATACAAAGTTGAAGAAAAAGTGTGTCACTTTTAAGTTAAGTCAGTACTGATTACAAACACGCTTTAATCTAAAAAAAAAAGTGAAGACTAACAATATTTGTTTGAAGCATGCTCTTGATTCAGAAATCCTTTCCAATGGACTGCTTTTGCTAAAGCATCTATGAATATGTAGGGAGCATGCCTATTGTGACGTGACCGTTTTGCAGATATCTTTAAAATGACCGACTAACCTCGTTTGAAAGAACGTCAAAATATTGGACAGCTAAGACTAAACTTGTTCATTTCATTCGCTATTCAAATCCCTATCCAATCACATACAAAAACCAACACCCTGACAGGCAATATTCCGACAAGGGTCACTTGCGCTGTTCCTGTTTGCTACTCATTGCTTAACTGAGTTTACACGATCACGATTGGACAAAATGGCCTGATTTTGACACCAAAAATGCACCGAGCAATGACAGACTGAAGCTGGTCGTAAATACGACTGTGGCGGAACTATTTGAAAATCACACTTCATTGCATGACCACTCCTGGGTTTATGCGTCCATTGTTTCTGAACCTTCCTTGTTAATTCCTCGATTAAAAAAATCTAAACCTCAAAAAGACTGACAGAATACATTGTCATATCAATTCATCTAAACTGCTACACCCGCTGACCCAATAAATAGGTTTTCAAAATTCCCCTTGCCGCGTAGTTGCCGTAAAGACACTGTTACCGACACCGTATCGATAAGGCATTTTTATTTGGTCATCTTACAGCAGTACACCTCGTTCCGTGGAGCCGGCCTCGGGGTGTTGGGGAAGTTGTTGTCGTAGCACTCGCCGGGTCTGTGCAGGTATTTCCCGCAGGACGTGAGGCGCGCGTCCCTCGATTCGTCATTGATGAGGCCCCAGTGAGTGTCTCTCGCGCCCAACTGGTAGAGCTCGTCCAGCTGAGCCAGACTGCACAGGCTGGCGTGCAGTCCACAGCAATAACTCCATCCTTCGTCGTAAGAGAGGGCTTGTGGGGACAAGCAAACCCCATACAAGCCTTCGTCTGTGAAAACAGCAAAGAGAAAAACAACAGAAAAAAGCTGGCTGAGTATTTACGCCGCAAGGTAATGATTTAGCTGAAGCAAGTATGATTGTTTGGAAGTCTACGCCATTTTTCTTAAGGCATGGCATTAAAGGGCAGCATTCAAAGCAAAAACCTCAAAACATGAAAAAAGGAATTGATTACTTTGTAAGTTGAACTTCACATCACTATATTGGTTCTGGGTTACTAGCCAAAGCTCTGGTGGTCACATTGTATCGGCCATTCATAGAGAAAGCGCCGATATTTGGGAGAGGGAGGGGTACTGAGGTACTTATTCTAGGCTGACAACTTGAGGGGCGTACCTTTTTCAAACCATTGGGGACAGCTTGGTATCGCTGTAGTCGTCGTAAACATCAAGGCGAAAATCGCAAAGAGAGCGGCGATTGGATTCATCTGAGAGATGGAAAAAATAGATTAATGACAAAAACCATACAAAACCGTTCAGAATGGCCCAGACTCGTTACAAAAATACCAACTCCATCACTTGCCCCACATGAACCTAGAAAATACGAAAAGGCAGATGAGTGTAAGATGGACTTTTTTTATAGAACAGCAATGCTTAAAAGTATTCAAACAGTAAGCATCTTAAAGGCCGATCCTAGCGAATAAACTACACGACTTGTGATAAGTTAAAGCACCAAGTCTTGATACTTGCTTACCAATTTCGACAAGTTGGAAATGCATTGCAAGAGCATGAAACGAACAGGCCATCATTTACCAATGACATCCCACTAGTTTGGAAGTGGCCAGACGCTGTCAGCATTTGTTTATTAAAAAAGCAACGAAAAATAGCGTCTCAACACTCTGAAAAGTGCTGCTAACGACATTGACTTGCATGGTCATAGACTGGACCTACTTACCTTGAATATTGGTTTAGAGTGCCAACCGCAACGGTTTCTCTCAATCCTATGGCGTATCGGGCGAGCGAGATTTATCTGGAAGGCGGCAGATCGGGAAAGACTGGAAAAACCAATCGCAGTCAGTCCTTATATAGCGCCCCTCCCTATACAACTTCGTCAGAGTTGCCCGGATTATTTCCAACTGACGTCACGACTAGTGTCCTGACCTCGAAACGTTCCAAGTCCGATGTTACGCATGAATGGCAGTTTTTAATACATGTAAAAATATATTAGGCCTATTAGGCTTCCCAAGGGAACTCAATATGCCTTGAGTTTGTTAATAGACCTGTCGGAGAAAAGTACAGTGGACAGCCAACTAAAGCGGGCGCACGTCAATCTTGCGTCAACCCGAAGTGCAGAAGTTACCGGCACAGACAACTTCCGTTTTGCTGTTTTCCGTGTGTTAAAGTTGTGCATGCAGCACAATGCGGAAACACAAAAATACTCAAAATGGTATAAATTTCCACGTAATGATTGTGCAGTTGTTGGAAGCAGCGCCTAAAGACACAAATAGGGGCTGAGTTTTTATGGTATACCGAATAACGTAACACACTTGTATGCTTTCTCTCTCGTCCATTCATGCCCATTTTGTTATTTTGGCCACGACAAAAAGAAAAATAACGAATTCCAAGGCAAAATTACAAGCACAGCGGCACATGACTGTCGCAATCGTTAATTCCACGTGAACACCTATTCAAAGGTCAACCGGAAGTTTCCTGTCCCGGCAACTCCGGCCGGCGGAACATGCATACATGCAATGCACGGGGCGCCCGCCGGAGTTGGTAGTCCATTGTATTTTTCTCCTTCAGGTATATGGTTTGTTCGAACCAACTGCCTTGTTGAATGATTAAGTTGGAGTTCACACACGGGCGTCGCTATGGGTGTTGCAATTATTTACACGCCATACCCCTAATGTAGGTGTACGCCAATGAAATTATACCGGAGTATTGTGGGTACCTATTCTCCTGGCTTTGGTACGCCTCTTCAAACACGCAAGGCCAAGGTAAAAAATATTAACGACTGGATTTGAAAATACAGCTTGGATTTTTTGGTGGAAGATTTTATGTTCAAGATGGATACCTAGTTTTTTCTGACAACATAATAACAACTGCGTCCTTTGGCCCATGTGCAATTTTCAGCCATGATCCAGTATGGGCCCCAAGCTTTACCAAGAGAGGGCGCGAATGTCCTTGCAACAGAAGCTCGTCTGGTAGTCACTGCCCATTGCTGGTTCACAAACGACTGTGGAAGGCTACACTTGAAATCCGAATCGTTAGTCAGTTGTGTTTGTTTTCGATACGCTACATCATTTTATTATATGCCATACCGATTCTGCCCTTGCTCTTGGGCTATTCAGTACCGGGTGTCGGCGCACGTCAGCGCGCCCACGACCCCTGTGCCCACCTAATGACTTGATCAACCTGATTCTGGATAGATATTCATGTATGCGACAACTGAACTGCATGATACATATATTTCCATGTATAGCGGCAATAGTAGCTCAGGCTACAGAACAGATTCATCCATTTATTTACAGGGATGTCTACAATTAATTGGTGCCAGTGTCTTTCATGTCTTGCATCAATATCCCTTTTAATACGACGCGTAGAGACAAAGTATACGTAACTATTCAAGAACAAATCTATGAAGTGTCTTTTTATGATAAGAGAATAAACACTTTTATGGCAAATTGTCTTTTTAGGATAATGAAAACACCCTCTTCAATGAACGAGACTGTGGTTCACTGCTCGATCAATGTGCCTCTGTAATAAATATTTATATTATTGGAATTCTCAGCCAATCAAAGTGCTCCGTCCAATTTTGGTAGCAAGCCCCATATGTTGTGCACAAAAGGACTTGCAAATTGTTCAAGTCCGTAATTGGGCACCGTCGGACACGCATATTATTGGGGAGGGAGGTTGCACTGACCGTTCCCGCGTTATTAAATTGCTAGCCGTACACACACCGCACCTGCAACGCGCACACATAGCGCGAAGAAGGTGGACTACACCCAGCCAATTACCGACTTGATTTCAAGTCTAATGGAACGCAAGCTTTGCCACAGTCCGTTTTCAGTCACAGACGACAATCAGTGCTACTTCTGAAACGGGTTTATATAAAAAAAAAAATATACAAAGTGGCTCACAATAATGCAAAATGTAAAGCCCCAAGTTATTGGGCAGAGTATCAGATGTGGCAAAAGAATGGAATTCCATGTAGCTTAACTTGTCAAAATTAACTTTGATTCTCAACGTCTTAATTTAATGCCCTACTTTTTAAAATTCGAATTCACACATTCGAGCTCACAAATTCCCCGAACGCTGAGCTCGTGGATGCATGGCGTCAGCCATGCTAAGCTCACTAATGTTTAAGCAAAGAAACCAAAGCCGAGTTTCAGTTATGCAAGAGTCGTTGTGTACAGAAACAAGGTACATTGTTCACTGTGCAACGAAAATATATGTTAAGGTACAACAAAAACCATTTTTAAACCAGGTGAGAAAAGTCTTACGCTTTGACAAGGCTTGTTTCTAAAATACTGCCGAATAATTTCACATGTCAAGCAAATATCTAGTGAGAGACAATAACAGGCAGATTCTTTCCTGAATTCTAAATTCCAACGTCTCTATTAGAGGGGACTTGCATTAATTCACCCTTTGACAATGACCAAATTTCATCAAGAGGTTTTAAAGTTAACAACACATTTAGGATAGTTTTAATATTTAATGTAGACGAGCAACTTCAATCTAGGTCAGACTAATAAAACGAATTGGTATAGTGAAGCATTCTTGCTTTGTAAACTTGCTACCATTTTCTCTCCAAAGTTTAATGCTAGGACTTGTTACGCACTATTATCTGCAGCAGACCTAAACACCTTGTCCTGCATATATATCTAGCCTTGTTTTGCCGTAACAATAGTGTATTAGAGTGTAAAGTGCATGCATGTAAACCTACGGTTTCCATAAACTGTAAAACTTACTTTCCCTTAAGTGAACACCGTGGGCCAAAGATTAACTGGCGTAAATCGCCAAATCAAAAAATGTTCGATTCATAATCTTAAAATGGTCACTGAAGGGTTACAATTCAAACCAAAACATGTATTATTACATGTGGCCGTCTGTCCAATCGCTGAGGGCATCATAGCATTTGTTTGCACACCTTTCCGTGGCTGATGACTTTTCCATAAGCCAGTCAACGAAACGATCTCTGTCCTTCTCTAACTGTAGGAAGTGACCCTGAAGTTGATAGGCCTGGATAGGAGAAGAAGATAGCCATTATAGCACCACACATCGACAAAGCTGTTACTGAAAATGTTGTATAATACTGTCCAACTCAGCTTTCAAAGAAATTTTCTCAAAATGAAGCGTCACCTGAAATCAATTAAGTTCGCAAAGTAACTTTACCGTATTGAATCCTTTCCGTCGAAGCCTCGCGCCATACTTTTTGCCAATACCAGGTAGTTCCTCTACTGGTTTGTCTCTCATAGGTTCTCTCACAAACCGCATGTGTTTCTGAGAGGCTGTCTGTTTGTTCTCTGCCATGCTTGCTGACGAAAGGTACAGGTGCAATGCAGACGAAGCGCTGAACAAAAACAGTTAGCACAAGCCAAACAGATTTGTCATTAATGACTTCCTATGTAAAGCCTGGTTTCCATATTATCGTTTGACGTCAAGACGCAGACACGAGCCGGTGCATGATGCCATTTCACCTAAAAATTGAAACAAAATGGCGTCCCAACAGCCGCAATTTTTTGCGGAAAATACTTTTAGATTGACTGTACTGCCTCATGGTGCAAAACCCGTACTTCATTTTCATGCATTTCATTGATGGTCAGCTATTTCGTTGATCATACAGGTTAAATATCTAACAAACCATATTCACCAGTTTGCGTATTCATGCCTAGTTGAGCTTAAATGTACATCCGTCACTCCGTCACAATAATCATCTTAATTTTAATGAGGACTGTCTCAAATATTCTCTGTACCCAAAACAATTCCTGAATGGAAGATGCTATTTAATGATGCGAACATGTTACCAGACCTTATTAGCTTTTAGACTGGTTTGGGTTCAATCGATGTCGCTAACTTAGTAAAGCCCACTTCAAAATTTTCATTTTGCTGCTGCCTACCTAAACTGTACAGGGATAGCCCAATGGGGGTTGCGTACAAAATAAATCAGAAGCATGAGTCGCTGCAAGTGGATACGTCCACATAACGGATGTGTCCGCCCTTCCCCTGTCCCCATGAGGTAGCAGAGCTTTCTCAGCTTGACAAAAATAGCTGAAATTTTTCGTATTTTCCACAACACAAAAACAACCTAGGACGCCTCAAAATCGCGATCCCAGCACCATCCCAACGTCCTCCGCGACACCAAATCCGATCTCCCTTTTCACATAAGAGCTGGTTTAGTGTTTTTCTTTACCGAAATCTATATCTGTTTGTAAACTCGAAAAAGGGAGTGATCCAAGAACGTGAGTGTATTGCCGTACAAAAACCAAAGAATAAGATGAAGGCAAACAGACGACAATATGCATGGACCATTCATAACTTACATCAATGTGTTTCGATTGTGAAACCTAAAATGAAGGAACTGAAGGGGAAGGGGCCTTGTTCTCAAAGTGTTTTTATGCGATACTATTAGGACAATTATTTTTTGTATCGTAGGAATGAACAACACCACGGTGGGTGTTAGCCGTCGTTCAATGGCACCCATGAGCTCCATCAGAGTGAGGTGATACCGTCTTTGTGAGTTTTTAGAAGCTTATCGATAACTTAGATCTTCGGGGATTTCTTCGTTTTAGTAATTTTGTGGTCTCGAAATAAAAACACAAGAAAAAAGCCTCCTCTGTTGATTCACAGTGAGGTGGTCTCGTTTTTATATAAGTTAATTTTTTTTTCATTTTGTTTCTACCACATAATGAGCCCAGGTTATGAAATGTAATGTGATTGTCACGATTAGCGTTTTGAAACGATATCCAGAATGTAAACGTTGCTGTTTTGAATACACATGTATGGGACAAAAACATTTCAAAATCTTTGGCGAAACTGCTCCGCCCCCGAGAGGCATCTGTCACAAAGTGGAG